TCATATGTCTGATAACCCTCAATTATCATTCCCATACTTCTTTCCTCTTCTAAATTTTCTGCCTTTTCACTGCCAGTTTAGTCCCTCCTTTTTCCCCTCCTCCTCTCCCTTTTCTTCTCTTAGGCGAGCAGCTGTAAAGCTCCACATGGAAAAAAGAAACAGATTTGCTCCCTCATCTGATCACCACATTTCATATTGCAGGAAACAGTAACAGGTTTTTCACACATTAAGCACTTTGCACACAACTATGAATAATCAGAAAATTCTTTCTGTTGTAGGTTTTACATACTGACTATCATACTACAATGGCAGTATCTCCAGTTGCTGCAGACAGGGAGCTACATCAGAGGGAATAATGTTCTCCCCTGTCTCCTGGCATCACCACTCCTGCTTCAATGGTGGGTCTCTCTTTCAGCCAGGGAAACAATCAGAAAAAAGGAGAAGTGGGGAGCTGGTACCAAATGAGTTGTCGGGCTAAGAGAAAGTTCCTCCGCTTTGGCAAATATGGTATTAATGATACTTGTCACTAGACCATGTGCAACTCACTGTCCTGGGCATAGCGACCTTCCCAAACACTGAGGTCGACATCTCCACAGCTTGATAGCTGAGACATAACAGTGTATTGTCACACTTCTGAGGGACTAAATAATATTTTTTTAACCCTTCAGGGAAGCAAAAACTTTGGTTTCAAGTTTTGGGGTGGGGGACAGTAAATTTAATTGTTTAATTCCTCCTACACTCATATATTATTATTTCCCATTACCTACTCTTTTGGGAAAGTGTGTATATGTGTGTGTGTGTATATATATGTATCTATATACACATACTCACACACACACTTTTTAAGCCTTCTCAGTTTACTACCCTAATCCTAGCATCTTTTTCTGCACCACACAGAAAAAGGCATAAGTTTATCAGCTGAAAGTTGCACTCAAAGAGTCCTCAAAATATCCCTTCATTCTTAAAAAGTATCTGATTTTCTCTCTCATGACTGAGTTCTTCAGATCCTTTTTTCTTTTGTAATGTGTCCTGCTTCAAACTGCTGCAGGTAGATAGTGGCTCCTGGGGAACGAATGTTTGGTGTTTTCTGCTGTACAGGTGCTACAACTCAATCTGAAAGCCAACAATTTAAAGACACTGATAACACCCAGCATTGGAATTAATCTGCCAATGTATCATCAGAATAACAGCATCGTCTGTTCTTAAAATTAGTGCTTACCCATTCTCAAGAATCTGTGTAGCCCAAAGCAACAGAAAAAATCTTAAAGCATATGGCATACAGTGAAAAAATTCTGGGGAGAGTAATATACCAATTAAGCCTCATAGATCTTGTTTAATTGCTAATTGGGGGCAGGCTGAGAGAGAAGGTTGGTATTTAGTTGATTAAAACTGCTGCTTCAAACAAGCTGTTTGAAGTTATCACAGAGTCACTGCAACCTGAGATGGAAGGAACTCAGAAAGCACCTTGGAGCACATCCTGTAAACCCAAACCATGAGAACTACCTCCTTATGGAGCTGCATTTGTTGCTTTCTCTTCTCCTTTCACAGAAAATTTCAGTAGAAAGAGTAACACTTTAGCATTTGCTCTAACTGAACAGCTACTGATTAGCTTTATAGCAATGGAGGAGCAGATGATTATAAAAAAACCACACGGTATACTGATTAGGAGACTGCTATGTCTGAACATCCTAAGCTGCAAGGAACAAAGATTACTGAGAGATGAATTGAGGGAAATATACTAGCCTCTTACAAGTTTACAGTGTTACAGTAAAATATTATGTCAGTGAATAAATTGTGCCATTCAAATTAATCAAAAAATTGTTATGCATACTTGATTTATTAAAAATAAAAAATATGCTTTAAAAGTTTATAGATGAAAGAAAAAAATTATTCTATTTTCTAAAATGTATATTCACAAAATAATGCTATTATGTCAGGATCAAAATTGCTCACAGTTGGCAGAATGTATTTTCTGACTGTTTAGATATTACTTAACTAAGACACCTTGCAAACTGGCACTTTTAAAGGTAATTTAAGTACAAAATATTTCTAGTTATGCATGGAAATCTCCATGAAGCTAAGACTTTTATTAGAAAATAAAAAAATAATAAAAGTAAATTAATTCTTTTTAAATAAGAAAGTTGGAAAGTTACCAAAAAATGCTGAATACCAAAGATTTAATAATATATTTCCAGGCAACAAAGAAAAGTAATCATTTTTTATAATGATACATAATTACAAAAGGTTTTATCTGAGAAATTGCAAGGGTTCCTTTCCTCTCCAATAAAGAGATAATTCCTTTCCCTGAGATTATCTCTTCCACAAAGAATTCTCAATCCTGAGCCCTCTGTAGAACAAGTAGGAACTAGTTCTATATGGAGCATTTTGATACAGAATCATAGAACAGTTTGGGTTGGAAGGGACCATTAAAGGTCACCTAGTCCAAACCCCCTGCAGTGAGCAGGGACATCTTCAACTACACCACGTTGCTCAGAGTCCCATCCAGCCTGACCTTGAATGTTTCCAGGGATGGGGCTTCTACTACCCCTCTGGGAAATTTGTTCCAGTGTTTCACCACCCTCATCCTTATATCTAATTTAAATCTACCCTCTTTTAGTTTAAAATCATTTCCCCTTGTCCTATTGCAACAGGCCCTGATAAATGTTTGTCCCCATCTTTCTTAAAAGCCCCCTTTAAGTACTGAAAGGCCACAGTAAGACGTCCCTAGGGCCTCCTCTTCTCCACGCTGAACAACCCCAGCTCTCTCAGCCTTTCCTCATAGGAGAGGTGTTCCATCCCTCTGATCTTGTTTTGTGGCCCTCCTCTGGATCCAGTCCAACAGGTCCATACCTTTTTTGTGCTGAGGACTCCAGAACTGGACACAGTACTCCAGGTGAGGTCTCACCAGAGCGGAGTAGAGGGCAGAATCACCTCCCTCGACCTGCTGGACACGCTTCTCTTGATGCAGCCCAGGATACAGTTATTGGCCTTCTGGACTGCAAGTGCTCATTGCCAGCTCATGTCCAGCTTCTCATCCACCAGCATGGAGAAGGATCAACAGGAACATGAGCCAACTTCCCATCTGTTCAGATTATGCATTTCAGTAGTCCACTGGGAACAACTTGCTAGTGGATATCATTTATCACATAGCTTTTTCACCTCTCTTCAAAGTAGTAACTTTGACCAGACAAGTAGGAAGATCAGTTACCCATGATACACAGTTCCCAGTGCTTCTTAAGTTTTTTAATGGATATTTATTTTAGGTAATGATGCCTTTCCATAAGACAAAACTCAACATTAATTATTTAAAATTGACAAATTTAAGGCACATATATGGCTAGGAGAGGAGAGCAGCCCTTTCAGCATGTTAGCACTGCCAATTTTCAGTTACTT